TGCTCCGCTGCGTATATGTAGTTAGCTTTCTATTTTTATAGATCTGTTTTATAATATATTCAATGAAAAGGAAAGAGTAAATAAAAACTATCATTTGTGTTTTAATTTAATTGAATAAAAGAAAAAAAAAGTAAATAATAATAAACAAATATATAAATAAATACATATATATTATATATCATGGTTCTATATTGTCCTGAAAAGTAAAATAAAATTAAGGGTAAGGGGCCAATTTTTGTTTTTCTTTGTACTCTGATCATCGGTGGGCATCTGGAGGTGGTGCTTATTATTGGTTTTATCTAGGAAAAAGCAGACCTGGAGTGCCCAAATGCCTAATTGGATGAAAGTCTAGTAGCTTTCAATCTTGCCATTGTAATGTTCTCATTGAAATTTGAGTTATTTGGAACTCCACCGAAGGTTAATGAAAAGATGCGATACTGTCACTTTAAGGAAACATAATTTATTTAAATAAAATAATTTCACCTTAGCAGACTTTTGTAGCAATAAAGTCTTGAAATAAAAATGCATGTATGGCAATCTGGTTTAGTATTGCTTCACAAGAAATGGTATTGAAATAATAAAGAAATGAGAAATTGCATAATTGCCCAAATTCAATATAGTTCGTGAGACTTCAAAGTAGCACTTAAATAGCACAGGTGGTTCTTGTAATAGGAGAAAATGTATAGTCCTTATACTTGTAAGAACAAGTGAGTAATTGGTAGATCAACATATGGATTAACATCAGCTTTGTAAATGGCAATCCCAGAGGGCAGACTTGTAACTCCTGTTCTTCCTGAAATAACTTTAGGTTAAACTAATTAGTAATCCCATAAACTGGTGAACTTATTTGTGCTATGAGGATGATGAACATGAAAGTCCTTCCATGATAGCGGAAAATATGGTTGCCTGTAGTTTGAAGAGAAGGTAGGGTTCCAATGTAGTATGTATCCAATTCAGGGAATGAAGAAAGAGCTTTGCCAGCATCATGCAAAAAGGTTCGGTATACAGGAAATAAGTATCGGACACAAACGCACACAAAGTCAAGTAGAAACAAAGTATCCAACACAAACGCACACAAAACATTGATTGAGCAATTAAGTTGTGATCGCGGCTTCTTTTTAAAAGCAAAGTTTGTGACGTCAGATGCATGGGTGTGAACGAATCGGCGAAACCCGGAAGTCATATGGGTTATGCCAATCGGACTGGAAACAACATGGATGTATTACATGGTGGAATCCTGACAGCCATTTTGCTTGCAGATATTGATGTTTTAATTGAAAATCAAGATTACTCTTTAATATTGCATGTGTATATAGTTTTTAGTAGCACTCCAACGGGGCCATTACAGTGCCCCGTCAAGGCAAGCATCTTAGCTGATTCTTACACTAATAATTCACTTTGCTGCATTCAGCTAAAAGGCAAACTCTCTAATGAGACAGGAAGAGATATTTTTATAAACTCCTACACACCTATTAACCCTTAATAGGGAACACATGGGGTCGGTAGCAACCCTGTAACATGACTGTGTAATACAAAAGCAAATACAAATGCACAAAATTAAGCCCTGCGCTCAAAATTCCATTACTTTTGGGAATTGTCTCATCTGTGGAACTGGTCTCTATATATATTGTCACAGTTGCTGATTTCCAGTTAAAGAAACTGTAGCAGAGCTTTTATACCCTGGCTGGGTATCTCTGCTGGAATATCCCTCGAGTTGGAAGAAAGCGCTGCATAGTGCTATAGCCTTTTTTCTCCCACACATCAGATGACATTTGATGTTGGGACAAAGAGAATCTTTATTGGGACAAGGTGATCTTTTATACAAAGATCTCCATTTATTGTATAGGTAGTCCCTCCCTGGTGCCTCTGTGTCTGGGAGACAATGTAATTATCAATCGCTTAAACTATTTATCTCCGTGACACAGAGGAACCCAAAACACAATAACCCCATGTTGTGGTTCATGGTTTTGAATGAATTAGTTTGCACAATTCAAAGAGTTTAACAATAACTACTATGTAAAAATTTTTAGGCGCACCAAGATGGCTACTGACCATGTGTTTCAAAGAGCATCCAGTCTCCAGTCATGAGTCCTGGTGTAATCTAGTTGCACTAACAATAGACATCACCTAGTTACATTAACAATAGAGTTACTGGGATCCCACATATATTGGAAACCATTCAAAACCATCCCTTTAATTTTGTACAGCTATAATATAAATTATTAGCTGCATAAGGTATTTTGGCAGAGATATATCCTAACAGTTAACCCATAAATTACAATCACTCGGATTGCAGCAAAAGATCATGTTTAATAAAAAATGTTAGAGAAAATATAACAAATATTAATAAACATATTCTAGATAAACAATTGTAATAATAATTAGACAATTATCTTTTGCAGTGCTCATTGTATATTTCCCATGATTGCAGTTAAAATATATCAAAAGCTATCCCAAGCAATTTTAATCTAAACACAAGTATAAAATCTAAAAATAAATTATAAAGTTTTATACTTCACGTCCCAGGATCTTAGATGAAATCGAGATAATAATTTCTGCTGCTCTTGATAGATAAAACTCCATGTCCTGGATAAAAATTTTGAGCTTAGAGCACCCACTAGCAGCCTGAACATTAAATAGGCTGCAAGGACCTATGAAGGCCTCTAACTATCAACCTGCCTCCTGACTCAGAACTGGTTAAACTGGTCTGTTAATTGATCATTTCAGTGCTTAATACTGGCATTTATTTAGGGAATATCTGTTGATGGTGAACTAATAATTTTTTAACATTTATTTATTTATTTATTGTCCCATTTTCCTTTTTTTCTTCTCCCTTCCCCCCAAACAACAACTCAAAACTTAGATTAAGCCAGGTGGCTTTTAACAAGAGTGCTGCTTAGCTTTTAGCGCTTTTTTTACTGTTTGCCACCTCGCCTTTTGTGATAAGGCCAATGAGCTGCTTTGTCTCGTCCTGATCCAATCTTTTACAACTGCCACTGGTAATTCCAAACTTAATAATGGAGATAACATACTAGATTGCATGGTTTATCTTGGGGTAAATTCTTTGGCCTCCTGACTCTATGAGTTCTGTCTAATCTTATGGGGGTATCAGATGATTGTTTTAAAATTTGATTAAACAATTGTTGTAATATCTGTGGTGCATCTCCTGCTCCCCCTCTTGGTGGCTCTTGGTGGCTCTGGTATCCCCCTCACCCTTAGAGTACTCCTCTATCCTCTGTTTTTCAAATCATCAATTTTCTTGTATACGTAAAGTAATGCTTCATTTTGTATTTTGAGGGTCTCTTGCACCATATTCAATTGTTGTACCATTCCTTCTCCCTCCTCCTCCAAAGTTTGAACCCTTGTTCCTAATTGAACTATGTCGGTGTGCAGGGATTGTATCTTCTCCCCAAAGCTTGCCTCTAATTTCCCCATCATACCTTCAAGTTCCTCTCTGGAGGGTATTTGCAATAAGAGGGAGTGAAAAGAGCATAGATTAAAATCATCCTCCTCATGTAATGCATCCATTAGTCCTCCTTTTTTGCCTTCTACCAAACCCTCTGGCGTGTCAAGGCTATTTTGACTATTTTGACCCATTAATGAGCTTTCATAGGCCTTGCCTACCTGTTTTTTTATTATGTACTGTCCCCAGTTCTCTAGGCTGGTCACTAACATTTCTTTCTGCCTCATGTAAATAGCTCCTCAGTTCTATTTTTGCAGCATGTGGTGTAGCTGAAAGTGTAAAGGTGGGTGTAGTAAACACACAGGGTTCTGGAATACTCCTGTGGAGATTGTTGCATGGGTTTTCTTACCCAACATTACATTCATTCACTGGTACTCACTGTGCCCTCACTGCAAAGTGTCTGCAGTGTGTCAGCAGTATCTGCGCTATCTGCACGCCTGCTACTGTCTCCTTCACCTGAGGTGAGTATGCCAGATGTGATCGGTCTGCCCAGTGCGTCTATCCGGGTTAAGGGCTTCCGTCCGAGTACTCAGATCCTGGGCATCCTGGTTCTAGAAATAATAGATATTGTTAAACCTATTGCGGTGTCTCTGAGCTCCCTTTTTGTGGTCCGGGGTTCGGGGGTTCAGGGTAAGTTCAGGGTCTTTGAACTCTATGGTCTAAACCGCTCATTCTGCCATGGGGAGCGACACTTCCATCTGCCGTGCCATGTGTACGTGACCGCACTTCCTGAGTATGTATTTTTGCTTATTATTAATTTGGCTGACAGAATATGGCTGGCAAATACCTAAATTATATCTAACACGTGTCTGCTTTGTTCTACCATTCTCACCCCCCATGCTTGCCCCCCCTTTCTGTAAGTTGCTTCAAATAACTGTGTATCTCTATTAATTAGGCCAATTCCATAAGGATAGATTGGCTCTTTATAAATTGCCAGTTATAAATAAAAATACAAATAATCCATATTGTCATATATATATTCTCCATTTCTTTCTGCATGTCAACTCTTTTATTGCTGCACAATCTTTAATTTCTTCTCTGTTCCCCTTTTTGTGTCTGACCATCTGTCCATCTCAACTTTGTCAGGTGTTATAGTAATTCTACACCATCCGCATTCTATGCATTGTTTTCCAACATCCTTCTTTATCTGAGCAAGTTTCCTCTAATTCCAACTAAAACAGAGGACTAAACATTGGAGAAATTGTAAGCATTGGATGATTAGAGGCGAGAGTGTCATCTGGAAATAATGGTCACCATCTAGAGTAGAGCTGGAGTAGGGTCAGATATATCAATGTATCTTCACTAAGAATGGAAGCTATTAAACCTAAACATATTTTATAGTGTGACCATAATAAAGATCACTGTTAGAATCGAAGGTCATCTGGTCAACTGAAGAAAACTTGACTGAGTTGGAATAACATCCAAGAATAGGTATGAGCTGATACTGCAGGAGTGTATATAGTACGCCACAATATAAGGAAACATGGACTGAAGTAAAAAAAGTAAAGTCAATATTTATCATTTATTTGAATGCACACAGGATAAAAACATAATATATCTTATTATAACTTTATAAATATATATTGATAAATCTCAAGAGGAACTCTGCATCTCATAATGTAATTGCCCAAGGAAAAAATCATTTAAAGAAACAGTACATAATCTAACCAAATTATTTTCCAAACTATTAAATTCCAAATCCAATTATTGGCTAAATTATGGCTAATATGTTTGATAGATGTTTAGAAATTTTAGGTCTAGGATTAGTGAGCATCTCTGAGACAATCGAGGTGAAGTTTAAATAACTTGGGTTACTCAATATTTTTTTTTTATCTTGCAATGGAAGAAAAATACAATACATCATGTTTTAAGGGATCCAAATATGTCTTTACAACCAATGGTGTGGTGAAATATTTAATATACTTGATTGTTAAGAGGTTACATTGATTTTTTCCATCTGCATTTATGCATGCACATATACAACTACATACAAACAGACACATATACTTACATACACAGGTATTAGACTTGTTCAATGTGAAAATAAAATCCAGTTTTTGGAGAAAAAAATAGTTTAGGCAATTCAGGTTTCGTTAATGTGGTGTTTTGGTTCAGACAAATTTTGTCCTTGAATCTGAAAAAATGCACCTATTAGTGTACTGCAAAATATATACAACATATAAATATTTATATATTTTTGCAGAACACTGATAGGTGCATTTTAACGCAAATTGGTTCACAGATCAAGTGAGAAGGTTTAGTAAAAGAGGGAAAAATAAGAGAAGTAAAAAATCTGTATATATTTATATATTATAAGTATATCACATGCAGGGCCGGATTAAGAGCCCAGTGGGCCTGGTGCTGACATCTTATCGACCAAAAACACTAAAACAATCATACCTCCCAAGCGTCATGTATCTGATGGAGATGGTGCTGGAGGGAAACTCATAGGATGCAGCTATAAGAAAACATATACTCTATGCTAATCTCTCTCTAATTTATGCTTTCATCTTTCAAGTAAATCCATAACCCCTAACAGCAGTGTCCAGTGAAGCAGAAAGTCAATGGGCAGGGTAAAAGGGTGTGCCACTGGCGCAAATCACGTGACAAGACCTGCCAAAAGGGGTGAACATGCCCAAAAACAGGGCATTTTTGTCCAAAGAATTGGAAGGTCAGCCTGGCATGAATGCATGTCAGGCTGCCTGCCAATCCTGCAGGCTGTCCAACTAAGGGCATACTACGCAGGCAGCACCTTGAGCTTGACATAAATGCGTCTAGTGATGTGCTCACTCCATTCTTTCTAAGGACTGTCCCATAGCACTCGCTGGTCCACTTGTCTCCTTACCTTCTTACTAGCAGGCAGAAGTTCCTGGTATATAGTCTGAGACAGAGAAAAGGTGTCTGTAGTGAGTGTAGAAGGAAGGGGACATGCCACAGTGTTAGAGAGACCAACGTCTGCATTACCTAAACTAACTTTAAAGGACCACTATAGTGCCAGGAAAACATACTCGCCCGGCTCTGGGGTTAAACTTACCTTTATTCCAGTGCCGGGCGGGGAGCTCTCCGCCTCCGATCCTCCCTTTTGGCTGAATGCGCACGCGCGGCAAGAGCTGCGCACGCATTCAGCCGGTCTCATAGGAAAGCATTCATAATGCTTCCTATGGACGCTTGCATCTTCTCACTGTGATTTTCACAGTGAGAAGCACGCAAACGCCTCTAGCGGCTGTCAATGAGACAGCCACTAGAGGATTTGGAGGCTGGATTAACCCTAACATAAACATAGCAGTTTCTCTGAAACTGCTATGTTTATTAAAAAAAATGGGTTAATCCTAGCTGGACCTGGCACCCAGACCACTTCATTAAGCTGAAGTGGTCTAGGTGCCTAGAGTGGTCCTTTAATGTCAGCCAGTGCACGCAAGTTTTGTTACCATACATCCCTCTTAAGCTTCCAAACTTAAAGGGACACTATAGTCACCAGAACAACTACAGCTTATTGTATTTATTCTTGTAAGTAGAATCATTCCATTCAGGCTTTTTGCAGTAAACACTGTATTTTCAGAGAAAATAACTCCACTGGCCGCTCCTTAGATGGCTGCTAGAGGTGCTTCCTGGGGCAGTACTGCCTAGTGTGTAGCACTGCCATTCAGTGTCTCCACCCTTTGCATGCAGACACTGAACTTTCCTCATAGAGATGCATTGATTCAATTTATCTTTATGAGGAGATGCTGATTGGCCAGGGCTATGATGGACTTGTGCTGGCTCTGCCCCTGATCTGCCTAGTTGACAGTCTCAGCCAATCCTATGGGGAAGTATTGTAATTAGACCACCACTTCTGAGCCAGCACCTGCAGAATTGAATACAACTAATATTTTACTATATTTAGGGAGGCAAGAAGCGGCCAAGGTGGTGGTTTTAACATAATAGGGTCAGAAATACATGATTGTGTTCCTGACCATATAGTGCTCCTTTAAGCAAGAGTATGTGAAGAGTAGTTAAGTTTGCCACCTTTCTTTGAAAAAAATACCAGCCTTAATCATTTGTATAATTAATTAGTTATGCGTGACATCACATGATGTAAATCACAAAGAGTGACATCAGAGAAAATTCTGTAAAATCACCAACAAGCTACTCACAGTTTGATTTTGCTGTATAGATGGATTGCTCCCAGTGTCTCCCTGTCTCCCAGTGTCTCAGTCTTGCAAGTCACCCAGGGTCTCAGTGTCCCTATGTAGCACAGTATCAGTGTCCCCATGTCGCCCAGTCCCCTAGTCTCCCTGTGTCTGTGTCCCCATTTCTCCCAGTGTACCAATGTATCAGTGTGTCCCCATGTCACTAGGATACTGGGGACACTGAGAGACATGGGGACACTGAGAGACCCGGGGACACAGAGACATGGGGACACTGGGAGACATGGGGACACTGAGACATTTAGGGAAACTGGGAGAAATGGGGACACAGACACTAGGGACACAGACACTGAAACATTTGGGGACACTCAGACACTAGGGACACAGACATGGGAGACTAGGGGACACTGGCTGGGAGACAGACACTTGGAGACACTGGGAGACATGGGGACAGTTGTGGACATAGACATGTGGACACTGGGACATATAGGGACACTGGGAGACATGGGGACACCAGGCACACTGAGACACTAGGAACACAGACACTGGGAGACATGGAGACACTGAAACATTTGTGGACACTAAGACACTAGGGACACAGACACTGGGAGACTAGGGGAAACTGTGAGACTAGGGGAAACTGTGAGACTATGGGATACTGGGAGACTAGGGGACACTGGATTGGAGACAGACACTTGGGGAGACATGGGGACAGTTGTGGACATAGACATGGGGACACATGGGGACACTAGGCACACTGAGAGACATGGGACACAGACACTGGGAGACTTGGGGACACTGAGACACTAGGGACACTGGCAGGGGGACATGGTGTCTCCGTGTCCCAATGTCTCCCAATGTCCCTATGTCTCACAGCGTCCCCATGTGTCTCAGCATCCCCATGTGTCCCAGTGTCTCAGTGTCCCCATGTTTTCCAGTGTCCCCAAGTGTCTCAGTGTCCCCAGGTCTCCCGGTGTCTGTGTCCCCATGTGTCCTAGTGTCTCAGTGTCCACTAGTGTGTGTCCCCATGTGTCCCCAAGTGTCTGTGTCCCAATGTTTTCCAGTGTCCCCAAGTGTCTGTGTTCCTAGGTCTCTCTTTGTATTGCCGGTATTACTGCAATACCAGCACGGCCAGGCACCCTCAAATAACGTATGTGCCATTAAAATACCAGTCAGGTGGCAAACCTAAGAGTAGTGTGTAAAAAAAACCCAAAAAAAAACCAAAAAAAAAAATTTTTTTTTGTTTTTTTTTAAATGGGCCTATTTCATGGACCTGGGCCTGGAGCTGCAGCTCCATCAGCCCCTATGTTAATCCAGCCCTGATCACATGTACAATATACAAATATAGATATTTTTACTTCTACCCTTTTTCTTCATTCTATTGGTCACTTGTTGATCTGTGAAAAACAACAGCATTTAGTGGCTGTCCGCTGGACATCAGTCACCTTTCTTTCTAAAAATCATCTTTTTTTTGAAGCCACAAAGGAACTCCAAATATTGACTGTCATTTGTTTTGTGATTCATACAAATAGCGATTTGATATTTGGGACAAATCGGCGATTGATCAAAATTTGAACGAATCGTGATTCTTTTGAAACTGAATGCATTAGTCTAATAGCTACATACAGATATCCAGCTGTTCACTCACTAACTCATAGGAATGAATAATAAAATCTATGTATTTATAACATCAAAGTCAACGTTATGGATCTACAACCTTGGATGTTGCTCAAAACATACTACTGTCTTCCTGTTATTAATACATCATAACACAAAATGGGTTTCAGCAGCTTAATGTTTTCATGCAGATAATGTTCTTTTCAGAATCGCAGGATGCATCATTCCAGCCCAAATAACGGATTTCTCCGCAGTACTCAATCCCATTGAAATTATTAGGCTCATTGTCATCCCAGTGGCTGCATCAAAAAAGTTAATAAAGAATTAATATTATAAAGTGATTTAATCATAGCAGAGAGCAATTACTTAATAAAGGGTGAGTATTTCATTCTGAGCTGCATGCTGTTTAATGTGTGTTTATAAAATTAAAAAAAAGTTTAATTGATGGAAGTAATCATTAGGTTTACCAATATTTTGTAAAGTGTTTTCTATCAAAGATTTTTGAAATATTTAACTTTTTATGTTAAAAAGCATAACATTTATATGAAAAATACATGCAGAGACTACTTTATTAGTTACTGTATATTAGCTCATTCATGCAAATATTTAACTAACCAATCATCCAGCAGCAACACACTGTATAAAAGCACTCAGACAAGGTCAAGAGTTTCCTTTACTATTTAGATGTAGTTTAAATCCAACACAGCACTTTTGGGTGTGATGCGCTTTATATGCCCTTTATGCTGATATTGTATTGACCAGATAAAATTAAATAACATAGATTAATAGGCCCCTCACACTCCATGTCATCTCATTGAAGAGATTGTATTGCTTGTCCCAGGGCCGGACTGGGAAAAAAATTAGGCCCGGGCATTTTTCAATTAGAGCGGCCCCCCAAAAAGGGGGCGGGGCCAGAGAGGGTGTGTTTGTCATCACTAATGACAAGTACACCCCCTCTGAAAGTGAGCATGTTGGTTCAATGCGCAGAGCCCCGCTGAAGAGCTCTAGCATTAGAAAAAGGCCCTGTATTTGTTCTGCGCAGCGCAAGCAAATGTAATAACATGCTTGCGCTGTGTTTGCTTTTAAATTGTCTCTGGTGTCTCCACAAGTGGGATGCCAGAGGACAAAAGGGCCAGGAAAGTGTATGGTGCATGTGTTTGGCGCATGCTTGTGGGATTGCCTGTGTGTAGAGTGTGGTGTGGTATTGTGTAAATAGGTCAATTTTGTGGTGTAATATGTGTGGCTAGGGGCTGTAGAGAGTGCGTGTATAGGGGCATAGTGTTATAGGGGATGTAGCGAGTGTGTGCATACGGGCAGTAGTGTGTGTGTTTAGGTGACGTAGTGTGTGTCACTTATACACACACACTACTGTGTGTAGAGAGGGTGTGTTTAGAGAATGTTGTATGTGTTTGCAGTGTGTGTGTAAGAGATCTAGTGTGTAAAGGACCCAGAGTGTGTATAGAAGATTGTGTGTGTGTGTAGAGGATTAAGAGTGCATATAAGGTAAGGGATCTAGCGTGTATCTGGAGCGTAATGTGTGTAGTGGTGCAGTGTGAGGGGTGCTGTAGTGTGTGTGTGTGTATAATATATTTGGACGTATTGTATGTGTGAGGTGCGCAGCGTGTTTGTGTAAGAGGAGTGCTGTGTGTGAGGGTGTTTTTATCTGCCGTCTGGGTTTCTAATTTTGTCTGTTAACTCACTGAAGGTTATTTTATATAATATATATGTGCTGTATGTGTGTGGGAGTGAGGGTGCTGTCTGTCTGAGGGTGTTGTGTGCGTCTGTGGGGTGCTGTGTGTGTGTATCTGGGGTGCTGTGTGTGTGTGTCTGGGGGTGCTGTGTGTGTGTGTCTGGGTGCTGTGTGTGTGTGTGTCTGGGGGTGCTGTGTGTGTGTGTGTGTCTGGGGTTGCTGTGTGTGTGTGTCTGGGTGTTGTGTGTGTGTCTGGGTGCTGTGTTGTGTGTGTGTCTGGGGTTGCTGTGTGTGTGTGTCTGGGGTTGCTGTGTGTGTGTCTGGGGTTGCTGTGTGTGTGTGTCTGGGTGCTGTGTGTGTGTGTCTGGATTGCTGTGTGTGTGTGTGGGGGTCACTGTGTGTGTGTGTCTGGGGTTGCTGTGTGTGTGTGTGTGTGTCTGGGGGTTGCTGTGTGTGTGTGTGTCTGGGTGCTGTGTGTGTGTGTGTGTCTGGGTTGCTGTGTGTGTGTGTGTCTGGGTGCTGTGTGTGTGTGTGTGTGGGGGTGCTGTGTGTGTGTCTGGGTGCTGTGTGTGGGGGCTGTGTGTGGGGGGCTGTGTGTGTCCTAGGGCTGTCTGTGTCTGGGGGGCTGTGTGTGTGTGTCTGGGGGGGCTGTTAGGGTAATTATTTTAAATATATATTTTTTTTATTTTATTAATAATTATAATAATTAATAATTATTAATAATTAAAAAAAAAAAGTTATGCCCCCCCCCTTCTTACCTTTAGCCTGGGAGGGGGGGGAGCCGTGTTGCCATGAGGGGGTGGGGGGCGCATGCTGTCATGCTTCCCTGGTGGTCCAGTGTTGAGAGTGAACTCCAGCCTGCAGGCTAGAGTTCACTCTCGCGAGATCTGAGCGTTGCCGTGGTAACCGCGGCAACGCTCAGAATCCCGCGAGAGGACCCGGCGGAGCTGCTTGTTAGAGCTCTGCCGGGTCCTCTCTCCTGCCTCCCTCCTTCCCTAGCCTGCGGCCGCCTGTAACAGTGCCTGTGGGCCGGTGAGGGAGATCTGTGATCTCCCCACCGGCCCATGGAGGCACACAGCAGGGCCGGCGCTCGGGTAGCGCTGGCCCTGCAGGGGCCGGCCGGGGAGATCCTGTGATCTCCCTTGCTGGCCTCGGCCCCACGGCCATCGCGGCCCACCGGGCATTTGCCCGGTATGCCCGATGGCCAGTCCGGGCCTGGCTTGTCCCACCATTTATTGTTAAATCATTTTGAAATGCTTCAATACTGAATGAGGATCCAAACCCATCCATAGCCCATTCCCCATTGGAGATATAGCAGAGGCCAGGGATAGATTAACATAGGGGCTATTGGAGTGGCACCAAACTGGCAAACTCCAAGGACTCTGCTCACCATCAGGTTACATAATATAACTGAATCATTCTCCCCAGATGGGCTTCAGCAGTCTTCAGTACCACCAATTATTGTTTAAGGCTAACCTCCCTGCACTAGAAACTGAATGGCTGATGGGTTGGGCCCACCACCTGAGCCTAGAAACCTGGCATAAGATGTCTGATGGATGTAGTAGTGAGGCTTCACTAAGTCAAGAAATGCACTGATGACAGCATCGAGAAAGAGGACCACTTCTTCTGAACCCTTCACCAGCATATGTCTGTTTATGGATCTATCAGCCGCCACCATAGCCAAAAGCAAGGAATTTATAGTGATAAAACTTCTTGGAAACCATAATATTGCTTACCACTGGATATATATCACTATGATTTTAATTTGCACAAAAGGGCATGACCAAAGCTGTGCTCAAAGCGAGCAAGGTCCTGCAAGTTTAAAAAAATTGAAATAGTGGGGGCGGCTACAAACAGCAGCAACTGCCGACACCCTCACCCTAAAACCTGCCCAAAAACCTGCATGCAAAATTTACTATGGGAAGTGGGAGAAAATTGAAGCATGGGACCTCCGTGGCATCGATATTCCACAGCCGCATGGAGAGAGAGAGGCCTAGGCCTGAGGAAATGTCAGAGTCGGAGACAGACACAGAAGCAAGCGAGTCTAGCCACAAAGCCTTACCTGTCACATGCAGGGATATAAAAGGGCTTGTGCGGTACATCAAAGAGAATATGGCCTCTGAACTCATGAGACATCTGGCCCCCATCAAGGAAGGCCTAGACGATCTAAACAGATGCACTGAGGCACTGGAGTATAAAAGGGAGGACGTCCACAACCTCAGCACACGGCAAAACTGTCCTAGAAATCAAAGGCAGACAGATCACTGGAAAATGCCCGGGAGGACCTAAACAACAGGTCACGACGCAATAATATTATAATCAGGGGGATCCCTGAAACAGTCGCCATATACACTCTCCACACCACCCTCTGCCACCGTCAACCAACCATGAGATGTCATTGTGCGCCTTCACTACTACCATGTAGTAATGAGAGCAACCAAAGACACCCCTTTACAAATTGAAGGCCACCAGGTCCAATTCCACCAGGACTCTACACAAGAGAAGCCAATTAACTATGTGTATTGGTCAGCCGAACCGGGTGTGTATGTCCGTATCCCCCCCTCTTTTTTTTTCTCACCCCCCCAGCTTGTTCCCTCCCCTTCCCTCCAATCCCACCCTTCACCTCATGCTCAGTAGCGACAGCTCAAAAGAGACAACCATATATGCATCAGGGCCCTTGACAAACCAGGTCCTCCTAATATAAGAAATATAGCACCAACAAACCATTCTGAAGACTCCCTCCAACAGCACCACAACTTGATGCAAAATCTTAGTGCAAAAGAACACTTAGTACTGATAGCACGCTCCCTGCTTTCATCAACATGCCTCCTACTCCTAGATCACTTCCTAATTTCTCCCAACGTCTTGTCACAAGTTACAAAAATGGACATCGGCACAATCACATGGTCAGACCACGCGGACATCAATTTAACCTTAACTATACACAATCTGACTTGTCTTTGGTATTGGAGACTGAATTCCCTACTAATACATGATACTGAAATCGTGGACACCATCACCAAGGACCTCAAAACATACTTTGAGATAAACAACCTGTTACGGGAGATGGAAGTCCTCATACCTTGTCCCTTAAGTATACTTTGTGTCGTCTAATCTCCCCTGCATTCAAATGGAATTTTTCTCTTCTGTGTGTTAATCAGGAAATGCTGCCCTGCAGTGACCCCCTGCTGTGGGAGCCAACGAGTCTATCTGCTACAACAAAGGGCTGTATGATGTAAACAGAGTTTGCTCTGAAAGGACAGGGGGGTCTCAGCTTCAAAGAGGAATTTGGGTTGTAAGCTCTGACCGCCCATGCAATGAAATTAGCCCTTTTTGTAAATGTACTTTTGGAGTGTTTCAGAATGTGGTAATTGTTTTCTATATCGCAACATGGGAAGCAGATCTAGGCCCCCCCCAGACGAAGTGTCAAACTGGTCAGCTATCTGGGAAGCTCTCTCGTCTCTCTCTCTCTGTAAGGAGCAAGGATACAAAATGTTATTCCGATGGTACCTGACACCCCAACGACTGGCAATCATGCACCGCTCCTTGTCCAACTTATGCTTGAAAATGTGCAGAAAAGTGGGCACATTTTATCATTACTGGTGGACCTGCCCAAAACTGATACCTACATGGCAAGCCATAACATTTCTCCTGACCAGAATCCTTGGAAAATCATGTGCCATGTACCCATGGGCCTTATTGCTCTCCAAGCCTCTAGAACCATTCACATGAGTCATAAATAAACTCATAGACAGAGTGGCTCTTGCCACCCGGAGGGCAATAGGAGAGGTGTGGTCAATGACAAGCCTACAGACACAGACAGTCATAGCCAAAAAAATACAAGCCTCAATAGACATGGATAGCCTTACATCCCAAATCCACAACACACTGAAAACCTTCCACAAAATCTGGGACCCATTGCCAAAAAGAGACACCTCCCTACCTTGGTAACAAGCCCACTAGCATCTCAAGACTGACAACTATTAAGCCCCGAAACTCATCTCATGCTAGGCACCATGCAGCCTCCACTCCAACATGCAATATAATGCCAGTCCCCTACCCTAGCCCCTTCTTCCAACTACAACACACTCCCTGGAGTTGCGGGGGTCTCGCCGTCTCTCACTCACCCTGGATCCACGACCAGGATCCAGCTCCCAGTGGGTGAACCTCTCCTAAATCCAGAGAGCGTATCAGGAACAAATCAAGCTCTTACAAGAGCTTACTCTGGGGAGTAAGTGACTCTGGGGAGTAAGTGATTAAAGCAATCCCCAGAGTGTAGGTATCCCTTCCTCCAAGCATGATCCAAGGCTTGAAGAAAGGGGCAAGTAGGTCTGGTTTATTGAGGGCTACCTGCCCGGTATTTATGCAAGTGTCCACCAGGTGGACACTCCCCCAGGGGACCTGATGGAACAATGGGACACGTATTGGATATTAGCCAATCACAGACAATACAAACAAAACACTCCCACAGTGGCATCACAATCCCTCCTCTCTATCCTGGAGATAATTGGGAAGTAATCAAATTATCTCCCAGGACAGAGGCAAGACTCCATTAACCACATGGTTGCAAAAAGACATAAAATTACATAATGTTACAATTACTACATTAAACATATACATGCAACATATCCCCAGATAGCTTAGATCTGAGTGCACATTATGACCGAATGGTGCTCAGATCACATACATACAGTTCAATCGCCATGGAGCCAAAGTTTTTTCCATAGTCTTTAGTTACACAAATAGGCTCCATGATATAGCTATTTGGGGTAGCATTACTCACATACTGAAAGTCCCTAACGCCCCGGCAGAAATACACAAATATACCTTTCTGCAGGGTAAAATACAGCTATCAGCACAGGGGCCATAGTCGGAAGGCAGGAGGCTAGCCAGTAGTCCCCTCCAGGCACAAGTGGCGAAGGGCACTTCGTCACAGTTCCCTGTAACTAAGAGATAATTGAGTTGAGTTACTGGTCTTTGACTCAATTATCTCCCAGACACAGGGACGCTTGGGAGGGGTTTATGTTGTGTTGAATGGAGACCCCCTGCTGGGGTTCTGTGCATAAAAAGCCAAGTGCGGCTCAATAAATCTTAGTTGCACTCCCAGAACTATGTGTCGTCCAGTTACTGGGGAGTAGGAGAGCTATTCACTTTTAAGCTCCTTTTTCCTGAGTTCTAGTTACCAAGGAATCCAGTGAAGAAAAGTCCTGGTCGGGACTAGCGCTCCGCTACATGTACCAACTGACCATATCTATCATGTCACACATCTCCGTGCCAATGCTTTCCAATAAGCATGGTACATTGAAAAAAGGTAAACTTTAGTTAGTAGTGTAAGTTATTAATGGAGGGAAAGGCAAGAAGAGATTGGATAAGGTGAAGTAGGCAGATTTCCAAATCTACCTCTTCTTCTGAGGATTTAAGACTTGAAATATCATTGATAATAATGTTGATTGGAATGCAGTATATAAAAATAAACATGTTAAAGTAAATATAGCGGTCTAGATTTAATATGATAAAAAAAAAATTGGATAAACTTTTCAAATTATGTTTTTCAAAATATTAAGGTATAAAACAATACATTAAATTAAAAAATATATAAATTTATCAAAAATATCAAAATATTACGATATTAAAATATTCTAAAAATATGAAATAATTGTAAAAGTGTATCTAAAAATATTAACTCTTTCAAAAAGCCCAGGATAATATGTAGAATCAAATGAATGGAACAAAAATTAAATTTGCCAATGTTGGCTGCCTGTCCTGCGGGTAAGGTCCTGGTCCCACAAGACTATAGGGTATAAATATAAGAAAAACCTGAGCACTCATAAAAGTTTAGTGCAAAAGTGTTTTATTCAGTCATCACAGAAAGGCAATGTTTTGACTCACTGGGTGTCTTTCTAAAGCCAAGGCTTAAGACAGACACCCAGTGCTTCCCAGGATAATATGTGTTATTAATTACCAACATACATTGGGTTTTACTTTATCAGATTGAATGCATTCCCATTCACTCATTCTAGATTCCTTTCTTGCCTCCAACCTTAACCTTAATTTTTGGAATTTATTTTCTATTCCATGCCATAAATAACCTATTTCCTAATCAGTTACTCTTATCATGCAACAATTTCTCCAAGGAGAGAACACACTTTATAAATTATATATTACTTACTATGCATGTGATTTATAAGAAGAAAATAATATATACAATTGTGTTGGGTGTGATTTAAAGGTCATACTTACGTAAAGGTCAACTTTGTTCCATCCTGCCACTTCCACACATTGGTGCCATTATCTTTTTGAAGACCTATCCAGTATCTTTGTTTGTCATTCAGAAGTGAATATAAGGCAGTCTAAGAAGAAAATTAGTTTAATATACCATCTGCATTTTAAGAACGTTGTCATCTATAAAAGCTTTTTGAGGAAAGTTTACAAGGTTGACATTTTCACTCATTACTTTGTGATCAAACAAAAACCATATAACATGAACTAGTACAATCATACAACATTAACAGGCCTCTTTTACTTTTTTTTTCTCGTGTGTGTCAGTTTAATTTGTATGTCGTGAGGTGTGTCTGTTGGTGGTGTTTGATAGTGGTACCTCGCATGCGCTACAAAAGCTTTGTCTCTATTTATAAAGTGAGAATTAATGCATGTACCTTAAAATGGTGGAACTTTACACATTTATCATTTATATGTCTTCCCTGTCTTGGTCTGTTGTTCTGTTGGGGAGGGAAGCCAACTGCCCACATCCTCCGTTCCCTTCGTTGTATCTTCCACTATGGAGGGAGTCCAACACCCTCTGCTCCCTTGGTTGTGATTTGCTGCTGGGGAGGCAGGCCAGCTACCTTTACCTCCTCTTGGTGGGTTGGAATCTGTCGACGGGAAGGGAGGCTAATTTTCTCTTCTCACTGGGTTGAAATCTGCCGCAGGGAATGGAGGCCAACTAGCGCCACTTCCTTTCCCTTCATTGTGAGCTGCCACTGGGGAATACCTCTACTCCCTCTAGCCCAATCTACCACTTGGGAGGATTGACTACCTCTTCTTAATTAGCTCATACTCTTCTACCGGAGAGGGAGGCCGACTACCTCTTCTCCCTGGTTTGCACTCTTCCACTGGGGAGAGAGGCCAGTTACCTTTTCCTTCTCTTGCTGGGTTGCACTCTGCCGATGGGGAGGGAGGCCAGCTATCTCTAGCTTCTCTCACTGGGTTGCAATCTGCTGCTTGAAAGGGAACGGGGTGGCCAGCGGTCAGGGGGTTGGGGATTTTAAACCACTATTCAGAACTTTGCTGATGGGGAAAAAGGTCAGCTACCTCTATCTCCTGGCTGACTTGCGATCTTTAAGAATCCTAACCCTGGTGGGTCGTCATTTGCAAGCCATGGGTGCTACTGGACTGCATATTGCTGTAAGGCCCAGTAAGCATCATCCAGCTACAATTCCTACTAGACCACCTCCTCTAATTTGAACATCCGGACAGGGGGTGCTCTCCCAGAAAAGGCATCTGCAAATCAACATGACCCCAAATTCCTGCATAATGGTTGAAAGGGATTCTCTCTGGGGAACCCAACCCTCCTCAAGGACATTGTTCCAGAGGATCGCATCCCTCCAGTCCACTTTGTCAGCTGCAGAGACAGGGCCATCGTACTGGGACCGAGCTTCTTGTAGTCACTGTTGGAAATTTGAGGTTTGGCATCTAGACTACACTCTGCCATCTTCCACAATTCATGCCTGGCTGGCCAGGCAGATCCACCTCTCTTGATCCATCTCTGTAAGCACATCATCCCAGATCAGTTGAATCACCTCTGCTGATAGATTGGCTCTGATGAAAGCCAAACCCTCTGACACTTTTCTCTTAAACTCCTCCTGAGACGAGGATTCTGTATCCATCTTCCTGAGTTACAGAAGATATGCAGGAGTACCAGTGGTGTCTTGGATGTTTTCCTAATAGCTAGGAAGCCATCCCACCACTGCCACCAAATGTGACAGAGCTCCCATACTCTGACAGAGTACCTTCACCCAGTCTGCACTCTAGCTGTTTTCAGGGACCCCGGAACGTTTCAGCCTAAGTTGCCAAATCTTTACTGGGGTCACTGAGAACTTCTTCCCCCCTGGACCAGGTTGCAGCCTTCCAGGCAGGTATCACTCCCTCTGCATTTGCCACTTCAGCACCTTTTCCAGTCATGTATCCACACCTCTGCCTAGACTGTAACCAGCTACTGCCTTTACAAAAAAACTTGTGGCTCTAGCTCTTTTTAGCTTGTCTCAGAATCCAGGGACCAAGCAGCCACCCAACAGATCCAAAGACCCTGCTACTGGAATCCCTGAATAACAAACCAGGACACACAGCTCCAGATGGAACTAACACACACAGCATTTTTTTTATTCAGGATTAGTCCATATGCACAGTACATTAAACTTACTGTGACAACTTAAATCCAATACCAATAACCAAATCATAGTGGGAAAGAGAAAGGAACCCGTAACAACAGACCAACATATCTATCAAAGATCTCCATCACTGGCCCACATGCAGTGTGAAGCAGCCACCGGCTGGGGAGGAAGACAGCCAGGGGAGGAACCCGGTGGAGCTCTATCTTACAGCTCCGCCGGGTTCCTCTTGCGAGATCCAGAGCGTTGCCATAGCAATGCTCCAGGTCTCACAAGAGTGATTTCTAGCCCCACAGACTAGAGTTCACTCACCACTAGCACCACCAGGGATGGCAGGATGGTCACCCCTCCCAGGCTAAAGATAAGAAAGGAGGGGGGATACAATCAATGCTTGTTTATTTTTTTAAAATTAATATATATTGATAATAATCTGCCCCCTTCCCAACACACAAGCCCTCCAAACATATTCACACACCAGCACCCTCACTCACACACACACACACACACACACTGCACCCCTGGCACTCACAGCACCCTCACTCACACACACACACACTGCACCCCTGACACTCACAGCACACTCATACACACACACTACATTCCTGACACTCACAGCACCCTCCCACACACGCACACACACACACACACACATTTCATTCCTGACACTCACAGCACCCTCACACACACACTACACCCCTCACACACACTGCACCTTTTCACACACATAATGCACAGTACTCTTTGCTGGCATTTTTGTCTCCTGGTATCCCATTTATGGAGACACCAGAGACAAATTTCAAGCAAACACGTTATTAAATTTGCTTGCACTGTGCAGAACAAATACAGGGCATTTTTTTGGTGATGACAAAACACACCCTATCTGGCCCCTCCCACTACAATGGAGCCATCACTAACCACTTCCTGACAATCCAGTATGGCAGACGCCTTCCTCATGTATTCACAGGGAGTAAACTGAACTCAGGGACATTGCTGCAGCTTAACAGGCTTGATGAGCTCTTTCAGCGCTTCTGACTCACACTAGAGCGAAGCAATGCATCAAATCTGCCTACGTGTAATATAGAAAACCGAACACATGTGAAGCTGAAGGGGCCTCCTCACGGCGAACTACATAAGAGAAAGCCTATGCAACCTACTGCTCGCTGAGAGCCGTACAAGTCTTAACTGCCTTACATCACTCATGCAAAGAGAAGATTACCAACGCAAAGTGGAGATTACCACCGCAATCCTCTGTCCCCTACAGAAGGGGATTGACTCGGACAGCAATAGCTTCCTAGTGTGTGTGGTTTAATGAAGCAGGCTTGGGTTCTGGTACACAACCTTCCCTGACTGTGAATCAGCTTTGCCACTCAAGGGCACGGCTGATCTAACCTGGGAGGACTTCCACCTGAGCTGTTTCTCCACCTGATGGTAGCAGACAATGTCCTCTTTACTTTATATGCCATTAATGCTATTGTTTTATATTACTAATGTGTTGGTTCCTGTGGCAGCGATCTAGTATTTTTTAGCTTTATCTCACCCCAGAGACAATAGCAACTACAATGATTATTCAGTAGTCAGTTTGTATAGCCTGTTTTAATACTATTTTGCCCACTGACTTATCTAGTATATGCATGTCTATTATACCAAAAACTGTGCAGTGTTCACATATGCCATAATATTGTCTGTTGTAACTTGTGCATATCGACCTGTCTTAGCTATTGTGGCAACACAGGCCTGTCTGTTATTTCTTGGCACGGATAAATAAAGATTGACAAAATTGAATATTTGTTTCTCAATACAAGATACCTTAGCTATGCATATCTCTCATATATTAACAATGGTGATAATCTTTACAATGGAGATGCTTATTTTACAGCTGGCTATATTGCAAATACTTAGCGTGAGTGCAGCATACCATTACTTTCTGGCTGGATATGATGGCAAGTGTGGAGCTTGATTTATTGCAGAAGTCACTGGCCTCTCCCCATGTCACACCATTGTCTGAGATCTTATAACAATAATATCCGGCTTTTTGCCAACCATTGGGGCAAGATTTCCAGAGGAGGCATTCTGTAAGCAAGAGTGTAAAAAAAAAAGAAAAAAAAAAAAAGAAAAGAGATTTATTCACTGAACTGCTACTTTAAAAAAAATATATATATATAATTCGAATGTTATTCATTTTTTCAGGATCATAAATTAAATTGGGGTACAGAAGGAAGGAAGAGGGGACAATGGGGTACACATGGGGTGAAGTGAACATTTCATCACGTTACAGTATTTTTCAGTGTGTGGAAGAGTTGCAACAGTTCCAAGAGGTTTCGTTATGGTGAGCTAGACCTTCTCTTAGCTGGGTACCATCTGATACAAACCATGACATTACCGTATACTTGGTTGTTAAATGACAAGATCGAGATCGGGAAGTCAGTCAACGGGCCTGTTCAATGTGTGTGTTTGGTTTTTGCTACCCATTCTCTGTGGGCTTCTTTGATGCCTGTGCATGTTCCAAATAGTTTTGCGGTCATAAACTCGTAAGTCCAGTCTTGGTCTACCTGTTTAATAAGGGCATCCACTGACGGGGTTTGGGTCTTCTTCCATAACCTGGATATTACTAAGTTGGCCGATATTAAGGTGTGGTAGAGTATGACCCTGATATGTTTTGGGATGCCCCTTGGTAACATGAAACAGAAGACAGGTCTACGGGGTTGTCTAGTCATGGTGTGGGTAGAATCGTCTGGAGTATGTGTAATACCGAGTCCCAGAATGGTTTGAGTTGGCTGCATGACCACCAGATGTGGAGCATAATGCCCACCCCCACTCCACACCTCCAGCACAATTACTGATCTCTGGCCACATCTTGTGTAGTTTGTCAGGCACCAGGTACCAGCAATATAGTGTTTTGCGCTGTAGTTCGAGGTGCGTCGTGCATGCTGTGAGCCCGTTGTGTGCTGTAAAAGCCCTTTCCCATTCCCTGACTGCCATGGTCTGGACCAATTTGTGGTGCCATGTCTGTTTGATCTTGTCTATCGTGTGTGTCTGTTTCGAGTTTAACTCATGATATCCCCAGGACATTGCCTTTTTGAGTGGTGAGATACCTATACATTGTTCCTTGAATTTTGACTTGTGTTTCGTGTTGTTGGGGTCTGTCTGGACTATTAGGTTGTCTGTCACGTAAGATTTTAGCTGAAGATAGGAAAATATGGCTCTATGGGGGAGGTCATACTTGTTTTGAATGGTAGTAAAAGGTTTTAGTCGACCCCTATCAATGACCTGGTAGATGTGGTTCACTCCCCTCCCTGTCCATGTCTCCCAGGGAAAGGTTGGGATCATCTGCCCTATTGTTTGCATTGGAGTGGCTAAAGGCAGTTGTGGTTCTGTCACCAGCTTATCCCTCATTTTATCCCACCTTTGTAGTAGGGTCTGGGTGGTGGGTATGAGGCTATTGAGGTTATGGCTGGGGTGACCAATGTGATTCTATTTCCACCCATTGGGGGGCCATGGTGGGTTGGTTAATTTGGGCTATGCTGTGCAGAAAGGCTGCTCTGTAGTAGGAACTGCTACTTTTTTTACAGTAGACTTTTTTCATGGGTAAAAGATCAAGGCTTGTTATAGTTTTACCACCCACCATAATGTAAAGAGTCCAATTAATGTATATTGCTGTGACCTTATTGCAAAGAAAAAAACAGTAAAGTCATGTGTTCCCACATATCGCTACTTGTTTGACTATGAAGATGAGGTGTTTGTAGAGTGCCAGCTAATTTACTGTAGGCTCCCATAACACGAATTAAAGGTTTGAAGATGTAGTAGTCTTACAGATCAATGCTCAGTTTTATTAGATATCTTTGCAGGTTTATTCACTAAAGAGAGAACAGCTTGGAATTCTAAGTACATTTCAGGCCAAAATAATCAAATTTGTAAAAATTCTTCAAGTCAATTCTGTTTTCAAATGGACTATATAGTCTTTAAATCTGAAATTCACTTTAAATTTATTTTTGATCTTTGGCAAAATTCTCACCTTAGGGAATAACCCTGTTAATCATCTTAGTAGAGGAGCAGGCGGTTCCAGCATTTAATTTGAGACTACAGCTATAATCAGAGTTATTCAACCCAATTTCCTTTGTTGCATGAAATCAAACAAAGGAAATTGAAATAGCTCAACACAATGAATGCTCACGTGGTTTCCCAAAATTTAACTGGAAATGCAACTTATAATGACTGCTCCAGTTTCAAAATTATCCAACCCCTTCATCTTTAGTGCTTAGTAGAACATCATTTTCCTGTTATGACCTGCTGCAAATGAGATGCATAGCCAGACACCAGCTTCTGGCAACATTCGCGAGCAACTATAGTCTATTTCCTATGAGCAACGACCTCCAGTACGGTAATATTCTTAGGTTTACATCAGTGTTAATCTTGGTTGCAAATTTTTATTTACTTTTAGTCATTGTCTTTTTACTAAAAAGTCAGTTTAGTTTTAGTATTATTTTAGTAATCTGAATTGTTCTAGTTTTAGTCTAGTTTTAGTCGACTAAATCTCCAGTAGATTTTAGTCAACACAACTAAAATGTAATGGGTTTAAAGAAAGCCTCTATCTGTCTCTTTTGCCCCTTCCCCAGCCCCTTTGTGTTTCTTTGTGTCCTCCCAGCCCCTCTATGTTTTTTTTTCTCTCCCAAGCCCAGGTCTTTCTCTTTTGCCCCTTCCACAGCTTCTCTGTACAGTGTTAATTTTGGCAGACTATGACTAAAACTAAATTTCAATTTAGTTTTAGTGATAGTCTTTTGACTAAAATGCCATATTATTTTTTTTTTTTCAATATCTTTTTATTTCTTCAAAAAAAATTTTTCCATATAAAAATTACAAAAACATGCATACAATTCCTCTATCGACATTTCAAAAAATTTCCCCTAGAATTTTTTCAGTTAAAACAGAATACAAGAGTTAATAAGAGAAAAACATTAATTCAATCAATGCATATATATATCTTACATACTTATATCCGTAAGTATCCTTCTATGGCATTACCAGAGTATCTCAGCACAAAATAACCATATCTATAGAAAACATGGATATCAAAATAGAGGAAACATTAAAACCAAAATTCATACCTTTCACACAGTCCATCCCGTGGGACTGGGATATTATCATCACCTTATTATTTTCCCAAATTAATAAGTAAATTTTTGCTAATGTCCCTCCAGGATCAGACGCACAATGGGGGCCACACCAACCTAAAATGCCATATTAGTTTTAGTCGTATTTTAGTCATCCGAAGTGTTTTAGTTTTAGTAGACTAAATCTCAAAAGTTTTAATCGACTAAAATGTGACTAAAATTGTTAGTCGACAAAATTAACACTGGTTTACATGCTGCAACCACCTTCTTCAAATCCCATCAGATAATTTCTATGGTGTCCAAGTTAGGTAACTGTGATGGTCACTGTCGAATTTTCCAGGACTTCTTCTGCAACCAAGCCTTGGTGGAATTTGAGGAATGCTTGGGATCATTTTCTTGTTGGAAGGTCCTATGACACCCAAGCTTCAGCTCCCTCACAGACAGCATGATGTTTTTTTCCTAGGATTTCCTGATACTTCAATGAATCCATCTTGCCTTCCACAAGCTGCAGGTAGGCAGAGTGCTACATTGAAATTTCAGGAAGTCCTAGTTGAAAACGTCATGCTGTCTGTGAGGGATCTGAAGCTTGGGCGACATTAGACCTTCCAACAAGACAATGATCCTAAGTATTCCTCAAATTCCACCAAGGCTTGACTGCAGAATAGGTTCTGGAATATTCTACAGTGGCCATCACAGTTACCTAATTTGGACCCCAAATAAAATCTCTGATGAGATTTGAAGAAGGTGATGTTTCTCTAGGTATAAATATATATTTATATCAAACCTGTGTCTTATATGCACTCATGTCGCTTTAACCCCTCTATCATAACTAAACTTTGAGTTATATGTGTTGTCTTTGCTGAGAAATGCTTTAGACTTGAGAAAGGGAGGTTTGTCATTACAAAATTTTGTTAGTCCAATAAAAAAGGTATTACAGGATACAAATATGATCTGTTATTTTACATCTCTCTTTCTCTCTCTATACATATATGTATATATATATATATATAAAAAAGGAATCAAGATAGCACTCTCAGGACTGTTGAATAAAGTAAAACTTAGCTTTTAATGAGCTGATAAAAAAGAATCGATGTTTCAGTCTGTTAAACACAGACTTTTATCAGGACTAACAAGTACAGTACAATGACTCACATATATTATTATTATTATTATTATTATTGCCATTTATATAGCGCCAACAGATTCTGTAGCGCTTTACAATATTATGAGAGGGTGGATTTAACTATAAATATGACAATTACAAGAAAACTTACAGAACGATAAGTTGAAGAGGACCCTGCTCAAACGAGCTTACAGTCTATAGGAGGTGGGGTATAAGACACGTTAGGACAGGAAATATCAAAAAGGGTGGGAGTTAAGCAGAGCTGGAGGAGAGGGTAGAGTGCTGCCCTATAGGAGAGAGCAAGAGACAGGTATGTAAGGTAGAGGTTACTCTGGGAGGCCATAAGCTTTCCTGAAGAGATGGGTTTTAAGGCTCTTCTTAAATGATTGAAGACTAGGGGAGAGTCTAATGGCGGTAGGCAGGCTATTCCATAGGAAAGGAGCCACCCTCGTGAGGTCCTGCAAGCGCGAGTTGGCTGTACGGGGACTTATGTGGATATCACTGACTTGAAGGGAGAGCTAGAGAGGAGTATGCCAAGTTTGGGTTTGTGTCCTCCTGGAGGTGCATGTTTGGAGCGGGGCTGCAGTGTTCAAGGCAGAGGTGAGGGTAGTGTTATATGTGGAGATGGCCAGTGAGGGACAGGAGAGGGATGGGATGGATAGCAGTTGTAAATCAATGTCAGCTGACAGCTACTGGAGGTCAATAGAGTTAAGGTTCCTCCTGAGTTGAGGGGTGTTAGGCTGAGGTTGTTGGGTGAGGGGGTAATTGAGAGCAAATGATAAGAGGTGGTGATCAGAGAGAGGAAATGGAGTATTGCAGATATTAGATACTGTACATGAATAAGAGAAAATAAGGTCGAGGGCATTGCCAGCTACATGGGTGGGAGAGTTAGCCCACTGCAATAGTCAGAGGGAGGAAGTAATTGAAAGTAGTTTAGAGGCTGCTGGGGTCAAAGGTGGGTTAATGGGAATATTGAAGTCTCCAAGAATTAGGGATGGAATGTTAGAAGAGAGGAAGTAAGGTAGCCAGGCAGCAAAGTGGTCAAGGAAGAGGAGAGAGGAACGAGGGGGACGATAGATAATGACAATGTTAGCAGAAAAGGGTTTGAAAAGGCGAATTGAATGAATTTCAAATCATGGGAAAGAGAGGGAAGGGTGGGGTGGACAGGGTTTTAAAGGAGCAGTGGGGTGAGAGGAGAAAACCTACACCGCCGGTGATATACACGTTGCCCAAGATCCATAAGAATAAGGAAAGACCTCCGGGTCGCCCTATTGTATCAGCAATAGGGGGTGTCCTAGAACCTTTAGCCAAGCGGCTGGACTTTTTCTTTAAAGAATCCATCGAACATTTTCCAACGTGTATAAAGGATACTCCAAGCTTTGTTAAACTACTGTCCAAGACTACATTACCCTCAGAGCCGGTGGTTCTGGTGACGTCTGATGTGTCAAGTCTATACACGGTGATACCTCACCAGGATGGAATTGAAGCTATGAGATCGATACTGTCCACGTCCATTTACTACTCAGGACCTCCGACAGTGTTCACATTGGAACTCCTGGAAATAGTGCTTTCTCAAAACTATTTTAGGTTTGAAACAGATTGGTATAGACAAATTGCAGGGACATCCATAGGTGCAGCTATGGCACCCATGTATGCAAACGGTTATATGTTTGAAACCAGATACATTCTGGAACCCTATAAAGACCGTATCCTGAAGTATGTCAGATATATTGATGACATCTTCATGCTGATTAAGGGGTCAATATCTGAAGCAGAAGAAATGATTCGGTCCATTAATCTATGCACCAACAACATTAAGCTGACGGCCGTGATAGTTGAATCTTCTACCTTTTTGGGTGGAGTTACCACATCTGTACCTCACTGTGACGTTATATCCTACATATGATTGTCCCCTAAGTGTGGAATGATCTCATTAACGTACAGACCTATTACTGGCACCAGGGTAGGATGGTTTATTTCTTTAGATTACGTCATGCTTGAGTTGGCGACAATATATAGAGAATACTGTATTTATGAGGTGGTATACTTAGGTTTAATCCTCCTCTCTATGTATATTATGCTTTTTCTGTACATTTTGTGTCATTTTCTTGGTATAATATTTTTTTACAGTGGCATGCGTTTTTGTGCTATATTTCATAAAATATTTGAAATATATCAGTAGCAGTACTAGTTTCATCGGCACCCCTTTAATATAAATTAGATCGATTAATAACATATTTCCTTTTTTAATCTTGAATAATTTAGTTGGATTTTTTGCAAAAATATGCTTATTACTATATTGCTAATATAGTTACAATTATATAGCAAAACATTTTCTTTCTATTACGCAGTTTTTATCACTGGATGGTATTATCAATTATATGCTATATAACTGCATCTATTACGATTGAATTTGTTCTGAGTCCTAGCCGTTGTGTTATGTTTTAGACATAGGTTGCTCTCTCCATAGCAACATCCTCCCTATGATGCTGCCGCTCGCGCGATGAGGTAATGACGCCAGCGCTGCGTGATGACGTCATGGACGCACGCACTAACGTTGTCCGAATCCGAGTCTGGACCGGGCTGACAAGGAGAGACAATTATTACGGTGTTGGGTAACTTGATTGTTACATGTATTTGGGTATATATGTGAGTCATTGTACTGTACTTGTTAGTCCTGATGAAAGTCTGTGTTTAACAGACTGAAACGTCGATTCTTTTTTTATCAGCTCATTAAAAGCTGAGTTTTACTTATTCAACAGTCCTGAGAGTGCTATCTTGATTCCTTTTTTTATATTTTGCTTGATAAGCACCGGGCAAGTATATATTTAAATCATATGGAGTGCAGGATTATTTTTCTTGTTATATATATATATATATATATATAAATATATATATATGTATTTGTGTAGCATAATAATAATTTTTGTTTACATTATTTAGTGTCTGGGGGACTACCCAACAACCCAGACAGTGCCCCTGCAGGCAGTTCCTTAGACTGACATTCTGGCCATGTCAGAATGTCATCGCAATTACATGGCTCGGAAGGGCCAGATTTGCAGCAGGAGGGTGTCCCGGGTTGCCAACTTGATCACCAGTTAAAGTAAGTACCTGAGGCTCATGAGCTCCAAACGTGATAGAGTTCTATGCTGCCTCAACTGCTTTTAAGCTCATTTAATGTGGGACAGCATAGAACGTGCTAAGGGGTTAATAGTTGCTAACTCAGTTCTAATGTTCTTTTACTTTGACTTGATTCAAGCTGGAAAACATTTAAGAAAAAACAAAAACATCTGATCATAAGTATAACTTTCTTTTTTAACAGGTATTTAGTATTATTGGCCAACTATCAGTATTAGGTATGATGGGGGGGGTTGTCAGGGTTAAATCTCCCTTGCACTAACGTAGGGGTCATATTGACCCATACAGGCAGTTTTTAACTATTTGCCCACTGAAAGCTAGTGCTTTCAACAGGCAAATAGTTATCAGCGAATTCTGAAGCAAATGAAACGCTATTGGTTGCTTGGAAATAAAGCAAGTGGCAGCTTTTACAGCTGAAGAAACTGAATCTCCTATTCTACCTAACATGTAGAACTTAGGTTAAGTCTACATTTTGGTTATTTTATCTGTGGCCACCAGTCGAAATGATCCTTTCTTTGAATGTCCTGTTAGTTGTACAACATGTGAAGACACTTACCGTTCTGTTTCATTTCTCGTAGTTCACCAGACACAGCGGAGTCTGAAAATTGGAATTTAAGGGTGTTAAGAAAGTGACTTTTAAAAAAATAAACTACCCTGTTTATCACACTTACATTAAGATTATCTCTGAGTTAATGAATTCAATTATATTTAACTGTTTCATTATTATATAAGGAGTGGCATACCGTGTACACAAAAACTGAGCCATTCTATGGTTTTTACACAACTGATACTAAATATCCACATTATATGAGTTTAGCTAGAATCATCATATCCACCATGTTTTCCTGGGCACACATAATTGAATTATGCTGTTAGTCAGACGTTGAAAATGCTGCCCTGTATGTAGAATTTAAATGCAGTAGGATTCCTCATTGATACCTGATTCAAACTGATTCATCTCCTACTAAGTCTTCAGTGAATACTATTCTACCAATCTACTTCCCTAATACTTCCCTTAACTTTTGTGTCACCGTACCCCACTCCCTCTAGCATGGCAGCTCATTGAGCAGGGCCCTCAACCCCTCTGTTCCTGTGCATCAAACTTGTCTGGTTACAGTTACATGTTTGTTAGTCCACCCATTGTAAAGCACTACAGAATTTGTTGGCGCTATATAAATATAATAATAATAATAATAATAATAACAACAATATGATATGACCGCCTGGCACCCCGACTGAGTACCTCCAATCAATCGCTGCTTCCTAGTACTTGCAAGCACCATAAGAAACGCACTGGAACACCATAACCACCGTAAACCACACAAACTGCTCCAACTCTCCACCTTGATCTTTCTTTCAGTATTGATGGAAGTTAAAATAGTTTGTTTACTGCGGTTTATTTTATACATTAGGGTGAAAAGGTCTTCAAACTGTGACTGAACATTACTGGAGGCAGGGAGCAGTGTCTGCAGGAACCCACAAATATGGTAAAATGGTATTCCTGACAACAATGTAAGGGGGAGGGGTGGTTATGCAATCCTGTCAATATACCCACCACAACATGATAACTATGCACTTATGCTGGATATAGGAGATGTCCAAAAGCGGTGGTAAAAAAAACCAAAAAATTGTAATGTACATTCACGTGTAATGTGGGCAGATTTGATGAGTCTTCTGGTTATAATCAAAGGTCACAGTCTCTGTTCTGATTGTTCTATGTTGCAAATAAACTTGATCAAAGTATTAAAGTATAAAAACTCAAATAATTGTAAATTCCCACATTGATATTGATAGCTCTTGTTGGAAAACCTCAAAGCAAAAAGCCTGAATTTTAATGCAGCCTTTTAGGCCTATCAAACAACAGTCTTTTACCACAATACAAGTTGAAAAAGTATAAAAACAAACAAACAATGATGTACCCACCAGTGGTGTATTTTGGATTTGTGCTGCCCTAGGCACAACTAAATTCAGACACTCCCCTAATCTCAATTTGCCCCACCAATCCATGTCAAAGCCACCTTGTTGTCTGACAGACACACACCCTCATTGATACATGCACTGATATACACTCACTGACAGATACACAGTCATTGGCACACACATACACTAACTGGCACACACTGTTCAACAAACACACACTTTTACTGACAGACACACACTGACACACACATCCTCACTGATATGACACACTGTGACAGACACACACACACACAAACACACACATTCACTCACTCACTCACTCACTCACTCACTCACAGAAACACACTGACAGCTACACACACACACACTGACAGCTACACACACTCACTCACAATCATGCACACACACACACACACATTCACACACTCACTGACAAACACACACTGACAGACACAAGCACACTCACAGACACACGCACATACATATACACGCTCTTCTTGCTCAGCTCCCTTGCGCACCGATTGGTGATGCCGGGTCCAGAGTGACTTCATATTTTAGCTCCAAGCATTACAGAAGGGCATGCGAGCAAGCAATAAGAGCTGAGGATAGCGGTCCCTCACCGCCCAGCAAAATCTTAGCAGTTTAACTCCACGGGGGGCCCTAAGATGACCAGCCAGCTTTTGCTCCCCCCCCCCCCGGACATCAGGCAAACAAGGCATTTGCCTGGGTGCTTGGGATGACCTTTTTTGCCTCCCCCCTGAAAGTGCCGCCCAAGGCAAATGCCTTGTTTGCCTTGTGGTAAATGCAACCCTGGTACCCACAGTTAATTAATAACAGTTTAGTAAAATTATTCACATACTCCTAGTATGCATGACAGTGCTCCCTGTTGGTAGCATATGAGAATCTTAAGTTGAAAACGTTCTTTCCCAATTTCAGTTCTTTCTTCAATTTGCCCTCCCATTGCAGCATCCCCACAATATACTCACAGAGCACAAGCAGGATTCCAATCAGGATTGACAATATCAGGACCGTCAAGATAAGGATAATCATCAAAACTGGTAACAGCTTCTTGCATTTCCCTTGCTTCTTTTCCGTTTGATTATCTTTCCAATGGGAGAAATAAAAGACATTAGTGAGGAATCTGTGTAGGAATCAAATGAAATAATGATGGAGGGAAAGGGGAATGCGGGGGAGGAGGGTGGAATTCATTCATTATAACCGTACCCCACTTATGGAGCATGCATTAAACCATGTAGTTTTCTACAGAAAGAATGGTACTTTATTTATTTTTAGTACATATTCTTTATTTTATTTTTTCAAATATTTTACACAAAAATCTACAAAACGTTATAGGCTTATACATCACAACATCCATTAATATACTTAGATAGCTATTAAATTTCCGTTCTTTTAGACAATAAAACATCTCCCTCTCCCCGGAATATGAAGTCATATTCCGGCACCCGGCATTACTGCAGGTCGCGCACCAAGGAAATAACTGGCCGCCTGTCCCGGGAGAGCCCAATGGTGGCCAGCCGGCCAGTTCTTGGGCTCCTATAAAACAAGGCAAACAAGGTATTTGCCTGGGCATTTGGGGGTGGCGTTTTTTGCGACCCCCTGGAAATTGCTACCCAAGGCAAATGCCTTGTTTGCCTCGCGGTAGACACATCCCTGTGTCAGCCTCTTCATGCATCCACACTCACATTAACCACTCCTAATCCTGTAAACACTCTCCCCTCAACCCTGCCACACCTATCCTGTCACATTAATGCCTCTAATCCTGTCAACTCTGCCACACTCACCCTGTCACATTAATCCCCCTTATTCCTGTCACACTCGTCCCTCCTA